TGTGTCTGTTTTTTGTTTAAAGACATTTATCCTGTTGGGTCAGAGGCCAACCCTATTCCACTATGATCTCATCTGAACTAAGTGTATCAGCAACAATTTGCTTCCAAATAAGATCACAGTCTGCTGTACTAGGATCTGCAATATAGGGGGTTAGGGTCCCAGCATACCTTTAGAGGATACAGGGTTCATCACATGACCCACTTTAAAACTAGAGGCTTGGAACTAAGCACAGCCTGAGGTGCAATTTAACTTGTAGGAAGAACTGTAGCATAGATTTAATTTCTGGCTTTAGAAGAATGGGAGTTCTTGACTTATCGCCTAGTTACCAACTCAGCTCCAGATGAGATACTGTATGCCATTGTCATGGGATGGCACCACGTGAGCTCTGGAACCTTATCAAACACCCTTCATGTGATGGCAGAAAGCTCTACCAGGATTGCTCAAATACAGTGCCACTCTGGAATCTTCTGGCACAGTTGGCAAAGAGAGAGACCAAGCACTAACATCAATAAAATCCTGTTCGTGAGCCAGATACGTAGCTAGAGCTTGATCCTCTGTGGTATGACAAGTTTTGGCAGATTTTTCCCCTGCCATAGAGGCAATTTATTCACTCATTCACTCACTGACAAACATTTTCCAAGTACTTGTTATGTTCTATGCTCAGATGCAAAGGAGATGGAGGGTTACAACGAGCACTGTCACTGTCACAGTCCTGGGTCTGCAGGGAAGGGGATGACAGGGACACTGAAGTCAGAGTTGAGGCTGGGTGGCACCCCAGCATCCACTTTTTGAGAGGTGGGTAAACTTGGGCAAGTTGCTTCATCTCTGTGGGCCTTGATTTCTTCATATTTTAAAGGATGAAATCTGACAGACACTGTCAGGAAATAGGCGGGGACTTGCCATGGAGTCCCATGCTGAGCCTCGGGATCCAAGAAGAAGCGACTTCGGAGCTCCAGGGACTAACAGGAAGGCAGAAGTGGGAGTCTAATGAGATCCAGATGGTGAAAAGAATGGGGACTGATAAGAAAAGTATGAACCCAGGAATGGGACAAAACACTAATGGGACCCAGGATAATGGTATACTGGCTATCACACACCCAACACTCATGTTCTCAGCATATTCTAACGTGTTTGTGTATTCTAAGCACTTGGCTCACACTGACTCAGGAACATTTCGTAAGGGCTCTGAGATAAGAACTAGGCAGCCATGAAAATGGAGGCACAAAACGACTGAGCCCCTTGCCAGGGTTGCATATCCTGGAAGTGTTTTGTTTTGTTTTTTGTCTTTTTCGGTACCAGGGATCAAACTCACGACTGGCTGCTTGCAAGGCAGGCACTTATGCTGCTGAGCTAAATCCCCAGCCCCTTATCCTGGAAGTGTTAAAGCAAGGATTTGAACCCAGAGCATCTGGCTCAGAGCTGTGATCCTTTGGGGGAGCAAACCCCAAGTGAGGGAGCAGCTGGGTGGTGGGTTTGCACCGCAGCTCTGAGACCTCCTGAAGCTGAGGAGTGAGCTGGCCTCTGGGAAAGAAAAGAAAGGAAGCTCTCAGCAGTGAGACGGAAACACAGGAGCAGAGCAGAGCTGCAGACTCAGCTCCACTGTGTCAGAAGCCCAGAGGTAAGTCCTCGAAGAAGGGTCCTTCCCAGATTAGACACCATGCATCATTCCTGGTGCTGGGCCTGGTGCTAACCATTCTGTTCTTATTATCTGCACAACAGCCTGCGAGAGGGAGTTACCTGCTTTCTGGCTGAGAAAACCTGTTGGTAGGGTTGGGTAATTTGCCCTCAATGGCAGAGGTGGAGACTGAGCCAGGATCTAAAGATGGTTTTGGCTGATGCTACCTGTCTCAGGTTCCCTTGGCTCCCTCACACCATCGCTAAGCTTGTGTCGCCTGCTTCTGCCCCCTTTTCCTGCTAGCAGCCCACCCTAAGGCCGTCTTCCAAGGCCTGCCCTTGGGCGATCAGGCCTGCTGTGCCCACAGAGAGCTCGAAGCTTTGGAAGATTCGGGTCTAGGCAGTCCTCAATTGATGAGAGCACCATCGCCCTGCTGGCCCCAGTGGAATGGATTCCAAGGCATGCCCTACGTGACAGAGGCCTCCTGTGGGGTCACACGGAGGCTGGGAATTGGTGGACATCAGCCCACGGTGCCAGACTAGAGTCTCCCTGGTTTGAGGCCTGCCCTCTCCCTTGCTTATCGTTTTCTCCCCTCCCTATCCCACTGCCCCCATTCCCATCCTGGTCTCTCCTGAGAGTTGGTTGAATCTGAATCCTCTTCCCACAGAGTGCATTGGAGACCCCAACCCAGGATACCCTTAGCCTCCTAACACTCTGACATTTTGCTCGCCACCCACTCCTTCTAGGAGCTACTCCAAATTCCCGCTGGAGCGGAGGCCACTCGTCCCTAAGCCCCTTCCCCTGCCATGTGCTCCAAAGGCTTCTCCTGCCCAGTCCTGAGGCCACACCACTGGCTGGAGCCCCGCATCCAAGCAAGTATGAGCTGAGCAGGCTGGGGCCGGACTTCTCTGCTCCAGCAAGCTGAGACACAGCCCACCTCCCAGGGTGTGGGCCGGGCCGGTAAACTCAGCGTGGTTTTCAGGCCCTGTTCAGACTTGTGGGTGGTGCTGAGCCAGACTCGAAGGGGATCAGCCTTAGGCATCTGGGAAGAGACAGCCAGACAGACCACTCCCCAGGGAAATACGCCAGACCAATAAATAAAGGCCCTGCATGGAAGAGTAGGTCCCGGCTCGCTAATTTCCTGCACCATGAGTAACACACAGTCAGGCATAGTCACTAAGGTGCATTGTGTCAGATTTCCCCCCGGCCAAATGTCTGGCTACAACTAACAGGGAAAAGATGCTAGGAAACCCCGTGGCCCCTCATTGAGCACTGACGCACGGGGGCTGTGTCTTAGTCCATGTGGACTCAGGAATTGAGACTTAAGATGCTGCTGTTTGCTGTGGCAATATGTGTCTTCCAAACCAGTCTACTTTCAACTCAAAGGAGAGGGCGGGAGGGGGACTTGGGGACTTGGCTGGGGACTGAAGCATGGTTGGGGTCACTCTCCATGAACCTCATTTTCCTCATCTGTGAAGTGGGCCTGGCATTCTCTGTCAAGTCTCCTCCAACTTTCCACCTAGCACCAGCACTTCTTTGCACTCCCGACTCTCAAATATGAGGAGTCCGTCTGACGTCCAATCCCAGTTCACCCTCTGACAGGGCTTGGATGTACCTGTTCATCTGTTAAGGCTCAGTTCAGGCCACGTCTTCCCTAAAACCAGACTGGTCTCTCCCCACTGCTGGATTGAGTTGTGTGACCTTCTTTGGGTCCCCATGTGGCCTTGTAGTTTTCTGTCACTGCATCATTAGCACGTGTGCTGGCCTCTGTGGCTAGGTTAGACCTGTGTACCGCGGTCAGATCTTACCTCTGAAGTTCTAAGGCCTGCCACAGTGTCTCGGACGTAATGGACACTCACTAAACATTGATCGAATAAACATCCCTCTTACGGGAATGTTAGAAGAACAAATGAGGTCATGAATGAGAGGGCACCAACTGTAAGATGCTACTGCATTTGTCATTGCTTTCCATGGGTATTCTTTTTTTTTTTTTGTCTTTTTCCTTTTTATCGGTACCAGGGATCGAACTCACAGCTGCCTGCTTGCAAGGCAGGCGCTTATGCCACTGAGCTAAATCCCCAGCCCCTCCATGGGTATTCTTGAGAGTTTTAGCTACCTTGCCATAAGTATTTATGTAACAATACGTGCCACCTCTCACGCTGAAGTCAAATGTTGCAATGATCATCAGAAATACACCTACCTAGCTTTATCTGTGTGTTCATCTCTAATCATAAAACTAACAAGAGGACATTATTGCAATCAGCTGGTGGAGGGAGAGGTGCACCAGGGCCCTCCCACTTAGCTCGTATTTCTCAGGAGAGCAGGAATGCTGACAGACTAAGCCATTTCCTCCTTTCTGGGAGTGGGGAGGTGGCTGAGGAGGGGACCTTGGGATGTTGATAGTATTGTGGGAGTTGCTTCAGAAAATCAAGGCAGAGCCCAAGCTTGCTGTCCCAGCCCTGTCAGAATATAGCCTGCCAGGCGGGGCTGCCACCTCTCCTAACACCTGACTCTACCTGCTGAGTCAGCGAGCGACTCTTCCTTATCACCCCAATACTCAGGCCCAGTGATCCGTGCACAGAGCTGCAGAGGCACCTCCTGGGCTCTCAGCCTGCACCAGCCGCAGCTGACCGTGCACACTCTGCCAGGACTTCTAGAAATGGTCTTCCCTCTCTCCATTCTCCCTTCTTTTTTCCCATGATGAAATTTACTTAATTTTTTTAACACATTCTCAAAGTTAGAAAATGATTATCAAGAAGTTAAAGTGTTCCCCCGCTGGCTGCCTCAGAAGCTCTGGACCTGCTGTGAGTACTCTTCCAGGGATTTTAAAAGACTGTATACATGGCATACTCACATGCTAATTTCCACATACATCCGCACCCTCTACGTTCCTCTTTACTATTAGTCTGCCAGTACGCAGTGTTTTGCTGCTCAATTTTCCCAATAAACAATATGTCTTGGAAATCTTCCCGCATTAGAACAGAAAGAGCTTTTGCTATCATTTTTCATAACTATCGAGTTTTTCAGGCCACATGACTTCTTTAATCAGGCCAAAACTGGGGAACATTTACAACCAGTGCTGCCTGGTAACCTGGAGCGTATGCCATTTCCCAGTAATCTACTAGAACTGAAATGGAATTGGTGGGGCAAAGGGTGGATGGACCTGTAGATTTCATAGCTATTACCAAACTGTCTGTAATAAAAATTGCACCAACTTAGACATTTGCCAACGAGTTGTAAGAAATGTAAACGTTTAAAATAGAAATAATACAATCAGCGCCATCCTACATACTGAACACGTTTCATGTATTATCTAATTTAACCCTCATTGCAACCATTTGAGGTGGGTTATTGTTCTATCGTCAGGGGAAACCAAGATTAGCTGATGGTGAGAAACGTTTGGCTCTTCCACACGCCTCGCTGCCTTTGATCTCTCATCCAGAAGCCTAGGAACCAATGGATAATCACCTCCATCACCAGCCTTTGTGGGACACCTAATTAGGCCAGGCAGACTACTGGCCGAACCCGTAGAACAGTCCTATAACACAAGTTCTGTTTCCACCTCCCAAGTTCAGAAATGAGAAAATTGGAGCTGGAGGGACAGGAGCCCTCAGACCAAGGTTACAGGACTGCAGCCCACACAGGCTGACCCCACAACACGAGCCTTTCCCAACATGACACGGAGGTCTCAGGACACGCGGACTTGGTAATCACCTGCGGAGACTGATGCCCAGACACCAGGTGAAGGGACAGGGTGAGTGGCTGAGTGGGGCTGGTTCCTTTCCCTTGACTCACAGACAATCCCCTTGTCTTTACCCCTTGCTGCACATAAGGGCCTGACATCCTCAGCCCTGAGCTGCTTCAGAAGCATGTGTGGCAGGTCGGGTTTTTCAAACTGCTTCTAGCCAAGAAGACAGAGAGGCTGGATTCTCGGCTTGGCTCTGCTACACACTTGCTACCCTTTATGATAATGATAAACTGTTATAACTTAAATCTAAATTATCCCCCAAATTCCTCACTGTTCAGAAGTGGAGTTTTTCAGGTGACCAGATTGTGAGGGTTCTAACTGCATCCGTGTGCTAATTATCGAGAAGTCACAGAAACTTAGGAGGTACAGTGTAGCCGAAGGGCTAGGTCTTGGAGGTACACCCTTGGGGATCACAGCTTGTCCCCCAGCCCCTTCCTCCCTGGTTCTCTCTCTCTCTCTCTCTCTCTCTCTCTCTCTCTCTCTCTGCTTTCTGGCAGCTATGACAGGAGCAGACTTCCTCTTCCCTGTTTTTCCACCATGGTGTTTCTGCCTCACCTAGGACCACGGGGAGTGAAGCCAGCTGACCATGGACTGACCCCTGGGAACCCGTGAGGCACCTTTCTCAGATGCTGGGTCACAGGGTGAAAGTTTGATGAATATAAAAACTAAAGCCAGTACCCATGCTCTGTACTAGGCAGTGTAATTAATCACTTTGTTCCTTTAATTCTTACAATAGCCTACAGCTCAGAGGTTAAGTGCTTTGCTCATTGTCACAGTCATTTAGTGACAGAGCTAGAGTTTGAAATGAGACATTCATTTTCTCTCTCTCTCTCTCTCTCTCTCTCTCTCTCTCTGTCTTTCTCTCTCTCTCTCTCTTTCTCTTTGGTACTGGGGATTGAACCCAAAACCTCACACTTGCCAGGCAGGCGCTTATGCCACTGAGCTAAATCCCCAGCCCTATCTGTCTTTTCTTGATTCTCCTATTTATCGCATCAAAGAGCCCGTTGCCTTCCATGGGAGCAGCTTCAGAGGCTTCTCTGTCCTGTCTGTCTGTGGAATCTTCACAGAACTCTCCCTCTTTTCCAAATTTCAGCACCCAGTGCCACCCCTGTGCCCACCTGCCATATGTGACATCAGCTGAATGTGGAGGACTCGGAGAACCCTTCAGACGATTTGGCCAGAAGACCTCTTTCTGAGGGAAGCAAGCTCAGTCCCTCATGAGCTGGGGCCCCACCCAGGGCAGTTTATCCAGTAAGTGTGTAGCTGTCCATCCCTGCACACTCGGGCTCTACAGACAGGTGGGCATTGCCCCCTGGGGAAGGGAGGGAGGGAAGGGGAGGCACGGGAGAGCTAATCCAGGGAAAGTAGAGGACTGGCCCTCACAGGAAAAGGTGATTCAGGACACGAGCTGCCTAGTTGTTTTCCATGGTTTTCATTACACAGTTTGAACTTCCATGGAGTAAATGTTTCTCAGACTTATTTTGGGGAATCTAATTCTGGAATGACAAGGGGCTTTCACTTCAAGGGAGGGAAGGAAACGCCTGCCACGCCCACTTAGCACAATTTGCCAGGGAATTCTGTGTCCCATAACTGCATATTACTTTTTCTGGTAGGGCTTGTTACCAGTCATGGAGGGGTGTGGTGGCAATGAATACTGGAGTGGCCACTCTGAGACAAGGCATGGGGACGTTAGGTGATTAGTTTGAAGAGATACGGCAAACCCTTGAAGCCAACTCAAGTGGTCTGAGGCTGAGCTAAGACTGCTTCCTGCCTCTAGAAGATTTCACAAGGCCAGGAAGCTAGCAGTTCTGGGGTCAAGTGAAGAGGAGGCAGCTCCGGACACACCCAGAACAGCTTCTGGTCAGGCATTCCTGGCCACGTGTGGTGCCACAGTGCACCCACGCCTCTTCCATGATGAAAGCTGATAGGCAAGGCTGAGTGCCCACTGGGGCCGCCTGCGTGGTTTAGGGGCACTGAGCGGTCTCCCTGCTAAAAATATCTCCTCCCCTTCCTGTTGTGGAGGCTGAAGTAATCACATGGAAGTTTCCTCCCTTGATCTGAAGCATTACTGTCCTCGTAGATCTGGTTTAAAAATTAAATACAGTTACGTGTAGAACAGAGTTACTGACATCTTCTAATTGGCCTTCATTTATAACCACAGAAGGATTTGAAAGCTTTCGCATTTATTTCTCAGATTAGACAGCTGAGGGAAATTTTCCTCGTTCTGGAAAATCCAGGGGTGGCAAGAGAAGCAGAGTTCTCCCTTGGACACCTCGAACACCCTTTTTGCAGTCAGATTTTACACATTTTAATACCTTTTGCTGGTAGCGTTAGTGGCTGTTTCAGAGGGTCCCTAAGTGTGGTGCTGTGACGCTGCCCAGCACCCTAAGTGCGTGTACCTCACAGAGGGGTCAGCGCACTGGGTCAGAGGCACTCAAGCAGGAGTCTGTTGCTGTTGGCCATGTGTCCAGTGTCAATCAATGGGTTCTATTCAATAGGGCATCTTTGCACAGAAGCACATGTAAAACAAGATTAGGCATCGATTGGTCCACCATGCCAGAAGCTCATAGGAACCCAGCCCTGTTTTCCCAGGTGCTATGGTCCAGTATTTGTTAATTCAGTGCTTGCAGTGACTTTATAGAACTTGTACCAATAATGAGGATAATCTGTATTTTTAATCCTTTTTTTAGGGATGCATAACAAAGGCAACCAACAGGGTGGCTTGAAGCAACAGACCTTTATTCTCTTACTGGAGGCTGGAAGTCTACAATCTCCAGGAACAAGGCTCTGCCCTGGGTCCTTGAGGGATCCTGCCATGCTGCTTCCCCATCCCTGATGACTCTTGGGCAACCTCAGTCCTCCGTGCTCTGCCTTGGTCATGGCTCAGCCTCTTCCTGGGCGTCCCTGGCTCCGTGTCCCTTCTCTTCTTGGATGCGTGAGTTCTATTAGACATTGGGCCCAACCTTCTTCATAATACACGGCCTCAGCTTCATGAAGTCTATCTCAGAGACCCTGTCTCCAAACACCATCACATGCTGAGTCCCCAGGACATGAACGAGGGAGCACTGTGGGACCCAGGAAAATATGAGGGCCAATAAAAAAAGATGGTGTGTTTAAATAAAAGTGTGTTACAGTAAAAGACACATTGCCATCAATCCTCCTCAGAAGATGGCCCCTTGCTTCAAACATGCTTGCCACTCTGAAGCAGTTCTAGGAGTCCCCTTTCATGTCTTCATGAGGAATGATAGAAAAAATGTGGGGAAGGCTCTGATGGTGACATCTGAGGTGAAGGCAGGCTCATGGAAACATTCGAGTGGTCCTTACCCTCCTTACTCACCCAATTGGGAACTATGAGACTTCTGGCTCTTCCCCAGAGTCAATAAACGATTTAAATCAATTTAGGGCACCGAGGCGGACACAACAGCACACCTAAAGACACTCAAGAAAGAGCACTTCCAGAGCAGGACCAATGGAGAGAATACACATGTCGGGGAGAGATTATTTTAAGGGGGATTAATGGTGAAGGGTCTTTATTGTAGTACACTTAAACATCTTTGAATATCCATCAGTTTCATCGTACTTAGTATATATGCACAGAGACCACTAATTTTAGTTTACCAAATTGGTATCTCTCTCTCTGCAACTTGGTAGAAAGGTCCGTGAGGTAGTAAAATAGCTTACTTATTTATCCTTTTTCTCCCAGTATTAAATCCAGCCTAATAAATGATAGGAGCTTCACAAATATTGGTTGAGATAGAATGAGTGAATGAATTGCAAAGCTTCGAGTCAGAGATCATCATAGCAGCAAGGATCAAATTCACCTGGAGTCCTGGGCTCCTGTGCAGGCCTCATCTCTTGGGTGGGTCAAGCAAAGAGACCAAGTGGATGGGCTCGTGCTCTCCATGCCCTCTCTACCCCACCACATCTGGCACTCTGCTGGTATTGGTTTGTGCATTCTGCTTCTCTGCAATATCTTTCTCTAAAAGCACCTTCACACGCATAGAAGGTGTGGAAGCCACTGAGCCTACCCCCATTTCGTGAATGAGGAAAGAGGTCCAGTGACACTCAGGGTCTGCCGCTGGCCACCAGCCTGTCAGGGTAGACCCAGGCTAAGTCTCATGTCTTCGGCACCCTATTCCAACAGCTTTGTATTTGCTCTCCTGCCAAGACATACAATGGGAGTACTTTGGAATTTGCCCTCCTCGAGACCCTGTTTTTCTATCAGGAGCAACTTCTGAGAGAAGCAATCAGAGCCTGTAGCATGCACCCCTTCCCGTAGCCCCAGAAGGCCCCTGTGCCAAGTTTTGCGGACATTCCAAGGCCCATTTTAGGCAAGACTATCTGACCACAGGTCACAATCCTCGCCTTCATCTTTGAGCTGGAGTATTTTGGCCTTTCTGCTTTTAAATGCACCCCTTGCTTTCTTGGAAGCTGAAGCCAAGCCAGGCAGGCCCAAAGGCCTCTGGCAGAAGCGTGGGGTGGGTGGTCAGAGGAAGAGGTCTGATTTGCAGACCTGGCCTGAGCAGAAAACCCTGCTGATTATCTCCCAGGCCAGCTGCAGAAACAAACGGCTCAGCTTGGCAGCAGATTATAAATAGCCCACAATCCGCTCCCAGGCACTTGAAAATAAGGAATTTTTTCTGTTAGAAGAACAGGGCTTCACAGCTATGCTGAGCCCCTTCCCCACCCCCATCCCCAAAGAGCTATGATTTATGTCATAGCACCATTATTGGGATCAAGGGTCACACAGCTCCAATAAACGATGATTAATTCATTGCCAAGTTCAAAAAATAAAAAAGGAGGCATTCCTCTGGAAGTTGTCACTTTCACTTGGGCACAGACACAGTGACCCATGAGCTCGCGGTGCAGTTTCTCTGCAGGCTCACCACCCCGGGTTTCATCTGGCAGAACGGGGGCTGGGCGAGGGCAGGAGGGACTGCAGCTGGAGCACAGCTCCTCTGAACTTGACTGTTTGCTGAGATGCTCTGGAGCACAGCGCCCAGAGATGCTGCTGCACTCTGTCATTTACACTTGAGTTTTCTTTAGAGGGAAATTCCCCTCTCTTTTCTCAGTACCTTGGATTATAGCAAGGGCCCTCACACTGAGCTACATGTCCAGCCCTTTTTAAATTTCCTTTTTTAAACTTTGAGACAGAGTTTTCCTAAGTTGCCCAGGCTGAGTTCAAACTTGTGATCCTCCTGCTTCAGGCTCCCAAAGGGCTGGGATTATGGACTTACATCAATCTCCATTCTAAGGAAGCCGGGAATCGGGTCTCCTTGCAAACATACTAGATAACCTTGGACCATTAGCTCTCTCTGGGACCTTGAGATTGAAAGGCAGGTCCTAAGGTACAAAGCACTTTTCACATCCTGCTCTCATCTGACCTTTACAACAAGTGTTTGTTTTGTTTTTCTAGAATCGACCATAATGCTGGCTAGTTACAGACAAACTTAGAGATTCAGAAAAGCATAAAGCAGAAAAATATCCCACCCAAATCTCACCACCTGAAGACAGTGATATTGTCATGAACATCCTTCCAGACTTCCCTTATTGGATATGTAAATGGGTATCACTTTACCTAAGTGAGATTATGTTATTGAATTATTGGGGCTCTTGACAGAAATACAGAGAGCATTTGACTGGGTACATGAAGGAAAGTTCTGCAAAGGGATTACTTACACATGTGTGGGCAGAGGTCAGGAAAGAGCAACACACCCTGGCTACAAGAGGGGAGCGCTGTTTTCACCTCCAGGCCTGAAGGGCAAGGGAGGGTGCACTCACTGCAAACCAGATCCTGTGCCTCCCAGGAGACAGACGCAGCCAGCCCCAGCTGTGAGGGAACCAAGGGAATAAATAGCCTCCGCTTACTCTCCTCTCATCCCACACTGCAGCTGTGGTGCCTCCCGATCAGAGGGCTGACACCCAGCAACGGCAGAAAATACCCACTACATCTGCTACCATGCTGCTTCAACACTCAGTGGTAAATCAAGAAGTTTGTAGCTCAATCAGTATAGACTGACACCGTATTTTTCGGTGGACTTCTATGTACAAATTGTAATTTTCTTAACCAATTCTCTATGGATGGATATGCAGTTAGTTTCTAATGTTTTCAGAACATAACCAGTGCTGTAAAAGATACATATAAACTTTTTGTGAACCTATGATATATCCTTTTTTATTTCCTTTTGATGCATTTGGGAAACTAAGTCCAGAATTCATGAGCTTTGCCCCCTCTACAGTGGTAACATGGTTTTTCGGAGTCTTTAGTTTTCTTCAGTGATGAACATCAAGCCCGTCTTAAGAAAACAAGGAATAATACATTTTTAATTTTGAAAGTAAAACAAAAACACTGTTTCCTGTGTGTCATCAGGGTTTTCAAGCAATAGATTTAATATAAGACATATAATTTATTTTATAGGATTATTTTATAATATATACTCAAAGAGTCAAATACAGAAGAGTGCAGGAGATCTGTACACCCTCGAGACCCAAAAGGCTTAGCTGAGGGCCTAGAGCCCAGGAGAATGTCCTGCCCGGGTCCAACTGTAGACCTGGAGCCCAGGGCAATGTCCTCCATGCTAGAGGCCTTCTGAGCCCACGACAATGTCTCATGCAAGTCTGTATCAAGGATCTGCACTGGGGAGGCCCAAAGGCCAGTGGTGGAAGCTAGAAAGTCTGCACCCGCAGGGTGAAGGATCTGTGCCAGCAGGCTGAGGGATCCGCACTGGAGCCAGGAAGCAACGCTCAAAGTAAGGACCAGAGCTCTCCCCGAGAGAACTGCAGCCATCCTCAGCAACAGGGCGGTCCCGAGCTCCTCCGGTGCTGAGATCAGCTGGGCTCATATCAGGAAGCCAGCGTGACAAGCTTCTCCAGGAGAATCCACAGCGCACCGTCTTCCCTGCCAGTTCTGCTTTATGCTGTTGGCAGCCGTCCTCAGGTGGACCTTCCCCGCCCAGCACCACACTGACTCAGTTCAGCTGCGTGTTACAAGTTGCCCATGAGTTTATCCACCACCCTGTGTGAGTCCCATGTCCCACAGGCTCTAAAAGAAAGAGACCTTCGGTTTCCAAAATGGAGTCTCGGTGGCTCCTGGGGACAAGGGTTGCCAAATCAGAGGCAAGACCTGGAGGATGTCAGGATGAGGACCTGGGAGGACAGGAAAGATGCCAGGCTGGACATCAGGAACGGGGAGAGGAAGTGGTGGCAAAGGACACCCTCGCTGCTTTTCGATCATCACCTTGAGAGATGGAATCGTCTCTGGAGGAACCTGGATAAAGGCGGGAGGAAGTGGGCTGGGAAGCTGCAAGGAGGTAGTGGGAGTGGAAGGCCGCCTCTGCTGCTCACTTCCTGTCGATGGATGCCTCTGTCTTCACATCTGAAAAAGTGGATATGATGCCTGCCATCCTGGCATTCTGGGACTAAGGCAGGAAAATCACAGGTTGAAGCCCATCCTGCGCAACTTAGTGACTTACGAGACCTTGTCTCCAAAAATAAAATGTAAAAAGTGAGCCCTGAATGCCGTTTGTGCTGTCTGTATTACAAGAGAGGGACCCACACTCATTAGGTGCTCAGGGAACCCGCACTTCCTCCTTTCTTGCCCCCAAACTGGGAGCCAAGCAGATGAAATCTTTTTAAACACAGAGGCAAGTGGTTCTTTTTTGTCTTTATTAGAAACCGTGAATGTGTGACACCTGGGGTACCTCTGGCTTCTGGGCCAGTGGCTGGGCTGGTGTCCTTCTGTTGGAGCAGGCTTGTCCCCTGAGCCTGGGGACCTGCTCACAGCCATCTTTGCCCTCCCATGTGGAAGCTGAATGTCTCGCATCTTCTGTACCCGCAGGGCCCTGTCTGTCTCTCTCAGACCCTGTCATGTGATGTAGGACCGATGATTAAGAGGTCTGGGGTTGGACGGGTTTGGCTTCCACCAGGCTCTGCTGCTCCCTGACTTGATGTCTCAGTCTCATTACCTGAAAACTGGGGACAAACGAGTCTGTTCCTGAGACTGGTGGTGAGCACTGAGCACAGACACGCACAGCCTGAAGAGCAGCATCCTGCACAGAGGAATTCCTGGTAAGCATGGGAAGTTGGTCCTTGCTGCCCGCCTGGCACAGGGCAGGCACGCTGCAGACGTTTGGCAAAAAGAATGAAGGATGTGTATTTATTACCAAAATAGCAGGATAAAATATGATTCAAAAGCGGCCAGGACCCCACAACACACAAAAGACAAGACATACAGTGTGACATGGTGTGTGGAGAAAAAAACTAATTATGATGAACAGCCTGAGAAGGTGGGGTGCGGTCACTCTCCAGGAGAGATTAGCGTGCAGGAGGAGCAGGAGCTGCCCGGTCCGGCACAGCCTGGCCCTGCGGTGTGCTGGCTTGCATTCACACTTTAAAGATGGGCATACAGAGCCCCTTAATCCTGGGAGGATGGATGGGTTGGTGCTGGCCCAGGGGGAGGAGTTGCAAGATTTTACTATGCTCAAGTTTCTCAGGGCAGCCCCTGCGAAGGGTGGCTCCCTAGCAGGAGAGGTGCTTTCAAGCTGTAGTCGTCCTGTAGGAGCAGAGCCCACCTCCGCTGACCCCAGGCCCTTGCCGAGTGCCCATCTGCTGGGTCTGCCCAGGCCAGAGCGATGAGGTAGAGGCCTGGGGTCTGAGTTGGATGCCAGCCTGGGCACTGACTTGCTTCCCGTCATGTCCCTGCAGGCGCCATCCACCCGCTGCGTGCCCTGGCTTTCCCTCAAGAGCAGCATGGCCGCGGGCCTTGGTTGCTGTGGGGACGGTCTCCCTGGAGGCCTTGCCTTCCTCTCCTGACGCCCAGTCCTTCCCTCCAGCCACAGCTGACGTACTCTTCCCCGAGGGCGGCCTTCCCTGGCCTTCATTGCCTCTCGCACCCATTCATTCAGTAGTGAGCATCTGCAGGGTGCCCCTGCGTGCCCGGCACCACTTAGACCACTTTAGCTGCTTGAATATAGAAGTGAACAAGGCAACAGAAACCCTGCCTTTGTGGAGAAAAGAAAACTAATAAATTTTTAAGATACGAAGGAAATAATGCAAGAGTGGCCTCTCGTGGAAGTGACATCTGATAGAGGGCTGAACATAATGAGAGAGTAGCCATGTGGATATGAGGGGAAGAAACGCTCCAGACAGGGGCTCAGCTGGCACAAGGATGTGGCATTGGAGAGTCCATGAGGCAACCCAAAGTGCGGGAATGAACCTGGACTGGTGTAGGAGGTCAGGCATGGGCTCTGGGAGGCTGTGCCAGCGTGCTCGCGTTTATGGAGTCCAGCAGGGGAGCGGTGCTGTGACTCTGTTTTCAGTTTCATCCTGGATGCACAGTGGAGAATGGGCAGGGGTTGGTAGCACCAGTGGAAACAGGGATCTTAGCAGAAGGTTGCTATGACTGTCACCATCCAGTGAGACGAGACCGTGGCTCAGGGCAGTAGTCAGTAATGGCAGTGGATGAGTGGAGGCCGATTTTGAAGGTACAGTCCGTGGAATTTGCTGTGCAATGGGAAGCAGAATGGAAGAAAATGTGTTTTCCCAAGAATGACTCCTAGACTTCCAGGCAGAGTAAATTGTGATACTTTTTCCTGAAGTAAAGCTAAGGAAGGAGAAAATACTGGGATAAAACTCAGTGTTCAGTTTTGGGCATGTTAAATTTGAGTTATTAAACAAGAAAACACCATGCCATGCTCCGGACATATCTACAGTTATTACATGTTCATCCAAAAACCTTTTTAGTTTCTTTCATTTTTTTATTAGCAGGTGAAGGACATACTGTTTACATGCCTGGTGGGGAGCTGTACATGTACCAAACCCATTCAATTCCCATTTTCATCCCCTTTTCCCCTGCTGCCCCATCCATCTCTTGATCCCTTTCTCTTTGTTGTGCATATTTACTATATGTAATGTTTGCACAAAATGTTTAAGGAGAAAGAAATGTTAACTATGTCGATTTGATCATTACACACTATATAGGTGTATCAAAATGTTACAAATACCCCTAAATTTGTGCAATGGAAAATAATTATTTATTTTTTATTTTAAAAAGGATAAAACAGAATAAAACCAATCAAAACAAACCAATGTAAGAGATACAGGATTTCAAAACATTACAAAATCAATAGTTACCATAATGCTTTTGATGGCTTCAAAATAGCTGAAGATACCTTCAGAAATAGTAAAAATCAAATAGAACAGAATAGAACAGACACAATAAAAACAAAACTTTGAATGCAGTAAAGGACTTCAAAACAAGCCAATAGTGAATCCAAAATTGCTACCATAATATGTCTTGCTATCTTTAAAATAGCTGCTCCTGCAATTGGGTTTGGCATAATCAAACAAAACAAAAGAGAGTAAAACCTAACCCAACAAAACAATGGAAATGATATAGAACTTCAAAACAAGACCATAGGTAATCAACAATGGCTGCAACCCTCAGAAGGAGATCCCCCCTAGATGTCACACTGTGTACCACTATCCTCTGAGCCTATGATCAAACCACCTCCAATGTCAGTGAAACATCACAGCACCACAGCCATCCAAATGCATTTCACCTCCATAACTATCATCACAGCCTATGTTTCTTCAAAGCCAGATGCTTCCCATGGGGAGTAGGGGGCAGTACTTCTTTGCCAGCTGACACCAGAAGGGGCTGGTGTCCAGTCTAATAGTGGCCCAAGCGTGGTGCTGGTTCCCAGACTGGGCTTGCTTGTTGGTGTGGCCTTGGTCTCTGTACGCCCAGTTTGCAAATCACAAAAATAATTATTTGTTTTTTTTAAAAAAGGAAAAGAACATATAACAGTATCTTAAAATACTTTTTAACCCTAAGGATTCTTTTAAAATAATTTTTAAAAATGAAGATGGAGGAGGAGGCTGCTCATCAAAGAATGTGGGTATCCTTTAGAAGCCTCTAGAATGAGAAAAGCAAAAAAAAAAATGGATTCTCCTCTAGGGCCTCCAGAGAGGAACACATTCCTGACTGCATTCTTAACACAGGAAGTCTACTCCCTAACTTCTAAACTGCACAAGTGTAAAGTAATGATTCTGTGTCATTTTAAGCCACCACATCTGTGGCGATCAGTGCCACAGAGACAGGAAAACAGCCCCAGGAGGAAGGGATCAGCTCATCCAATCACAGCCCAAGGCTTTGCAAGTGAGAATGGAAATTCTCCAGTGGTTTGGGCAAGGTGGAGATCACTGGGGGCCATGATATCAGTTCAGGGGTACAGACTGGAGGGTACAGAGTAAAATGTGAGAGGAAGACGTAGATAAAGTCATGGACTGGGCCAACCTTTCAAGACCTGCTAAAAGAGAAGGCTCAGAAGCAAGGCAGAGATGGGCACGACTTACAGCAGTTTTCTGTTCTTGTTTTTGAAAATGGGAGATATTACTGCATGCCTGTGAGCTGATAGGAATGAAAGAGGCAAAAATGTGATGAAACCAGAGAGCGCCTACATTCCAGCTGGAAGTCCCGTGCTCCACTGGCCTGGGGGAGCGTTCTGCAGTCAGGAGCAGAGGTCAAGGTCTTGTAGAAGATCAACGCCCTGTCCAACTTCTATGGAATGCAAGGCTCTCCCCTGAGCAGCATGGAAGCAGGAGCTTCTCCAGGGTCGATTCTGCCACACCTTGACCAACCCTTTCCACACCTGTATTCTAGGGGAGCTGTGAGACTTCAAGTTCACACTTTTCCCCGAGCACTAAGATTCCACCTGTCTCGTTCTTTGTATCTCCTTGCTTGGTCGAGATAACCACACACAGAGGGCATTTGATAAATGTGTCTAAGCATGGTGGCAGCCCCTCTATTGAATGCTCACTGCGTGCCAGGGGCTCTATTGACTACGGGAGTGACCTCACACCATCCTGACAGTGTCTGTCTTTCCCATTTTATAGACAAGCAAGCCGAGGCCCTGGTAGCTTAAACAGCTTGCTCCAAGATCACAGAGCTGGTGAACAGCAGGGCCAGGACTGTGGATCAGGAGGCTGCTCTCTAAGCAGAGTCATCAATGGCACATGACCATGGCAGGGAGATCACGGGCCCTAGGTACAAAAGATGCCTCAGAAGTGATGCCTGAGCTTGGAAAGGAAGGATAGAAAGTCTAGTGGGGGGGGGGAGTGAATTCTAAGAGGAAAGTGCAAACACATCAGGGTGGGAGATGCCGAGGGGCAGCCGAAACGACTGAGGCTTGTTCCATTTCCCTATAGGCAGGTGGACGGAGGCGGAGTCCTGAGTGTTGGGCACAGCTAAGAACTCAGGCTGTGTTTGGTAGGCAATGCAAGTGCCTGGGGAAATGCACAGGGCCCCAGGGCTCCCACCAAAGGTCCAGATGCGGATTTGGCCCCAGTGCTAGAGCAGAGCCAGAGACAGCAGCATCCAGAGCTCAGTGTGGTCCATCTCCCTACAGCAGACGGACAAACGGTTTGAGTCTGCTAGGATTTAATTCAGTTTGGCACAGTGGCTGCCAGGCACCACGCCTGGGAGGGAGCTGGGATGGTGTCAAAGGAAGGAGCAGGGGCCAAGCTCTATGTTCTACAGACAAAGAGAGAGAACAGGGCCAGAGACTGGACAGCATGTGACACCTGGGCTGCAGGCCTACGCATCAGCCGCTGCAGCCGCAGAGACAATGGCTCCCTTCGAGCTGTGTGTGAATTCTCCAGGAAAGGATGACTTCAGGGCTGCTTCTCCTGTCTGCACAGTGCTGGCTGTGGGGGCCCCACTGGGAGGGAAGGCCGCCTCAGCATTTGGGGAGCACTGAGGCCAAGTCACTGCCCTGCCCCTTCCAGCCCTGCAGAGCAGGAAGCCTGGGTGCTCTGCCAGAGGCTCTGGGGGGTCTGGCAGGCAAGGTGGAGGTGTGTCCTGCACTGCAGGAAACCAAAGGATCAAGAAACCCTGAATTTGACAGTTTTAGGGGCATCCATGCCAGCTCCTCCTAATTCTTGCCTTCCCCAGAGCTTACCTTCACATCGTTGGCAAGCACAGGCTTTGGAGCCAAGAAGGCTGGCACTGCCACTTGCAATAAAAAGTCACTTAGCCTGGAGGAGCCTCAGTTTTCCCATCTGCAAACGGAGTCACAGCACCTCTGGCATAAGATTGTCCAGAGAAATGCACCTGACGTGCTCAGCGTTCATGCAGCCTCTGGTGTAGCTGGATGAGAGTGGAAAGAGGGAGGGAGGAGAAAGAGGAAGGAGCTAAGGAAAATCAGAATGCTAAAACTGTGTTTTTCCATGGTAATTTCAAGCTCTGTGGCTCCAGCTCAGTGAACTGCTCTGAGACCCTCAAGTTCATTTTGAAAAGTTAATTCGACCAGTTGCCATATTGTCCTGTTCTTTTCTTTAAAAAAATTTTTTGGGTACTGCATACAAATTACATTTTGAAAAATGTTAATTTTTTTATGTAGTGTTCTACATAAAAGGTAGCTTGAATTTTAAATAAAAAAGTAAAATTATACTTTTAATCTAAAATGCAGATTCAGGACATAAACCTAGTCAAAAATTCTTAAGGACACAATGGACCTTGGGCCATGTTACCTGTGAATGGGCTGTATAGCTTGGTTACCTAAGAATAAGTCAGTCATTTTCATTTGTAACTTGAATCTCTTCAGGTTCACAAGTTCTACAGATTTGCACCCTCAACTCTGCCTTAAATATAACCAGCAAGGTCATCCCTCTATCTCTTTCTCTCTCTCTCTGTTTCTCTCACTTCCTCTCCTTCTCTCTCTCTCGCTTCTTTCTATTTTTCCCTCTCTCTCTCTCTCTTCACTCTATTTCTTTGGGTATTTTAAAAATTTCTACTAATAAATCTCTTCATGCTGCCTACTGATGTGTCCTGAAAATTCTCTCTGAGGTGGCAGCCAGCAGACCTGCAGTGACCTATACTGTGGCTGGGTGAGTCAAGGTTCCCTATATCTGCTATGGGGACTTCCTCCACCCTTGTCCAGTGACAAAAGTAGTAGGCCATCCCGCTTGTGCTTGAATTTCTCCAAGGCCAAGATCATTCCCCAGAGTCCATTTCCAAAAAGAGTACAAATCCACTTCTTATCACGGCTATGGAGGTAAAGAAGAGGGGGGTATATTTCTTAAACTGCTGCCATGTGCTAGTGTTATTATAAATAACTCAGAATTTAAGTCCAAGGCTACTTAGAGGAAACAACCAAGATTTGAACCTGAGTCTGTCCGAGCCTCTCTGCCACACTGAACACAGCTCCCGTGGCCCCCTCGGTGCTTCTATTCTCCAGGGAAGGGATCCCTAGAGCTCAGGGGACTCAGCTTCATACTCCTCCACCCTCCTGGCACCCTCTGCTCTACAGCCAGAAGCTGGCTGGTCTCTACTGACTCCAGATTGTTACTGCTATCCTGACAAATAGCCTCCAGACTCAACATACGTGTTGTCTTCTGACCAGAGCAGAATAGGAAAGAGTTCTTGCTCTATTTATTCTAGGTGCTACTGTTGCACTGATAAAATCCATGGTGGCCTGCAGTTGGACAATTCACATTCTCTTGGTGGCTCGCTCTCTCTCTCTCTCTCTCTCTCTCTCTCTCTCTCTCTCTCCATTCTTTTGCTCTGAGCAGTCACAACAGTCTTTGCAGATCATCACTGAAGACAGTAGAATTCTTCTCAACTAGTTTCAGCAAGTCAAGCCTCATCACACATGGGTGGCTCACAAGCCCCCCCACCCCCCGCGGGGCTGAAGAGCCAGAACAATTCCCCAGCCACCCCGACCAGGGACACCACCACCACTGTCAGATGGCCCCACATTGCCAATGCCACACTGCCAGTGAGTGAAGCCTAATCTCTACAACCGCAAGCCCTGCTCCGCTGAAATCTGGGTCTCCCAGACTCACCGCCTTCCTAGCTAGTCTCCTTTCTCTAAGCTTCCCTGGGCCAGTCTGGAGGTCGGATGAGCAAAGACTCGGTGACTAGCCTCCAAGACGGCCCCACTGAGCCTCACCTCCTCGGATCCATGTGGTTATGCAGGCCACTCTCACACTAGGTCAGGCTGATTCGTATAGCCAATAGGATGTTGCCAAAATGAAATAGGATTTCTAAGGTTGGGTCATAAAAGATATTGTAACTTCCACCTGGGCTCTTGAAGCCCTCACCTGGAAGCTGGCTAGCATCTCAGACGCATATTTAAGCAGTACTGGGGCTAGGATTCCACGGCAGAGAGCTGAGGCCTCCTGCACACCACCGCACAAACGGGCCCAGTGCTGAGCCTCCCACATGCGTCCTGTAGTCCCCCTTGAGCCTTCAGTGATGCAGCCTCGGCTGCTTCTTGGCTGCAACCTTGGCAGAGACCCTGCGACAGCTAAGCTGCGCCCAAACACCTGACCCAAAAATCTTTATGAAAGATAGTAAAATAAAATAATATTTAATATTTGTTATTCCAGGTTTGGAGGAATTCATTAGCGATCGGTAGATAACTAGAACAATTTACATAAAGATACTGCCCGGCTCATGGTCAGCACTGCTGGGTACCATCAGTATTTTTATCCTCACTCATCTCTGGGCCCAGGGTCAGAAGCAATCACCTCAGCAATCCAGGGAGCCTGGGAAGTGGAAAATAGTGGCAACTGTACTTAATCCCCCTGCAGTTATACACCTGAACAGATTAGTATTCGGGTTGTACAGTAAGAACAGCATGAATCACTTGCCTCAGGCTCCAAAGAGAAAGTCCCAGATCTGAGCCCTGACTGGCTGACCCCCAAGCACCTCCACACTCAGGCTGGCTTTCTCCACGGGGGCTTCCAGATGGCTGAGTTCTCACTTTGGGGCTCCGTGAGGATGGCGTGCAGAAGGTGGGGAAATCGCACAGCAGAATGGAAATGAAGCCAGGGGCTGTGAGGAGTCCAGGGAGTCCAGAAGCAGCCGGTTAACCCCAGATTTCACATCTCCTCATCACAGCCCGTTGGGCAGAGATGTCACAAGAACCCAAGGTGACTCAGGCCACAGGAAGAACCTGAGAGCTGACAACTCCTTACCAAAGATGTTTTTCTGGATTAAGGTGCAGGCTTTCTGGAACCTGCCAGTCCTTCTCCCAAGGATTCCCCTTAGGCTGGGCTGCCTTCCTCACCCAGCTGGCACGCAGACTGCTTGTTCACATTTAAGCTGCCACCTCCAGCTCTAGCCTCGGGGACTGGCCCTGTCCCTTTCCCCATGCAAATCCTAGAGTGAAATCTAAACTCTCCTCACTCACTTTTTTACTATCTTGCAGACAGGCACCTAAGTCTCATTTATTGTCAGATTTTTCTTGTAGATTACTGCTGGAGAGAGTGTGTAACAAAGAATAATAACCAGAGGAAATGTCTCAGGAACACACAGCATAAAGTAATGGAGAAAACCACAGGTGGAGATAGACTCAGGCTCAGATTTTGATGAAATTGTATCATTGACGTGGTGAGGAACCAAGAGTACAACTTTCTTGAGTCTCAGTTAAGTCTTCTGAATAATGAAGACTGTCCTTTGGGGAAAAGCATTTAACAAATCTAAAATGTGCACATCGGGACACTGCCCTGCAGAAATATTGTCACATACACTCAAAAGCCAGTGCATCCAGAGTTCCAGCACAACATTATTTATCAATGCAGATTTTCAAATATTCGCCCCTCAGGAAACCTGGAGCACCAGAGGGGAATTGCCTTGCCACTGTCAAAAAGAACGAAGCTGAGCAAAGCAAGCCTCTCAGCAACAATTTTCCATCAGCCTGCAGGGCGGGCTTGCCTGTGCTGGGTCACTCCTCTCGCTGTCTCTGGCTCCACAAGCAGCCAGGCGCCTGGACACAAACAGATTCTTCGAGGACCTTGTGAGCAGAGGGGCAGTGTGGCACTGGACTCCACACCGTAGCAGAGAAGGTTCCTGGCCTTTTGGAAGCCAAGGCCCATTGCAGACCAGTGGCTGTGGTGGTGGAGTGGGGATTCCCATCCTTAGCTCCTGCTAGGGCCTTCCCTGAGGCTCCCCTTCCCATGGTGCATCTCGCTGCTGCCAGGGTCCTCTCCTACAGACAGCGCGGCCACATGCATTCATGTAAGTACATGCTGCTGTCCCATCCCTGCTGTTTTCTGAGAATCCTTTCTGAGAGGAGACTTTGCTCTGGCCACTTCCTGTCAGGTGACACCTTCTGCTTTGTTTAAACTGTTTTGTCTCCACCTGTGAAATTCTCCATTCCTTCACCCCCCTTGCTTGCTTTTTTGTTGTTATTTTGTTTTTGTTGTTGTTGTTTCGTTTTGTTGTTGCTGTTAATGTACGGAGAATTGAACTCAGGACCTCGCACTTGCCAGGCAGGCTTTGCTGTGCTGTGAGCTATCCCCCTGGCCCCACCCTGCTTTCTTGCTGGGACACTCTCTCCATCTTGTCACACTCCAATTCTACTGATCCTCTCACAGGCAGTGCTGCTCCTCCCTCAGCCCCAGCCCTCCCACCTGGCTGGCCCCCATTCCACCATTCACAGGACTGATCTCCGCTCTCCGTTCACTGTCAGGGTAGACACAACTGTGATTTCCCTCCCACTCTCCTGGGACCTGGCATTTGTGAGGCAGCAGATGCTCAGTAACTACTTGAAAAATGATTAATGAGTAAAGCAGAGCGGTAGATTACTACCGGAATAATTTTCAAGTGAATTAAGGTGTAAATGAATGACTTGCTTGGAATTCAGGAAGGAATGGTTAAAACTGACCCTGGTGGTTCCTTTGTGGCTCCTTTGCTCCAGATAATTGAAAGCCAACAATGCAAAGGTCCCTTTAGTTACTGAAGATGCAGTTTCCTCAGAATTTCTTGAAGACTTCCTAGTACAGAACTACCAAAGAGGGAATATAGATAATCCACAAGTGTATGGAAATATAGTTGACCTCACTCATAATAAAAAAGATGCCATTCAAAACAAGACATAAAGCAGCATAAGTGCCCACAAGTCAAACAAAGGTCATATTTGATTCCCAGTACAAAAAAAAGATACAATTTTGTTAAATGTACAGTGCATGGTTGGCAGAGGTGGAGAAGCATACGGACTCAAACATTTTTGGTAGGAATGCCACCACACCCAACATTTAGGGAGAAGATGGATCTGAAAATTTTAAACTTCAAATACACATACCATTTGACTCAGTTAATCCTGAAGAAATAATTGGGCGAGAAGATAACCTGTGAGCATG